CCCCTCCCCCTCCCCGCCCCCCTATCTTTCTACTTGGTGGCTTGGAAGGATAGAACAAGCAGAAATAGGGAGTTCTGAGGCGCGAAGTTGCCTCAAAGAACTTTTAAGTGAACCACAGAGTTATTGTGTCAGAGTGGGGGAGCCTTCTTTTCTAGCATTTTTCTTTTCTTCGAAAACAAAAGTATGTCCTTCAAGACATCTGTTAAAATTAAGACGACACAGACGATTAGCATCGCCCCTGTGCAAGGATGACACGCATAAATTCAGAAATGGTCCAAACTACCACATACATCCATTAAAATTGGAACGACACACAGCAGATTAGCATCGCCCCTGTGCAAGGAGGACACGCATAAATTCAGAAATGGTCCGAATTAAATTTAAAATTAACCAAAAGAAAAAGAAGTAAATAAGCAAATGATACAAAATAACTGTGAAGTTATGAATCTCACAAACACTTGATCGATTGAAACAACCAGAATTGAAAAGATGAAATCAATTGTTGCTACTATACAGAATGAGTCGAAACCGAAAACATAGACCAAATTCCTTGTCCACTCCAACCAACCAGATGCCAGAAACATTATCACCGCCATGGTTACCAGGCCGAACGTGAGGGGGTCGCCAGGCTGACCCCCGAACCTGAAGGGTTTCGGCCCCCGCCAAAAAATTATGTCGGGGCCTAAAAATAATTTGCTTTTGTTGGTTTGTGTTTTGTGAGTTCTTCAGGACATGCAGTACACACATATAAATTTTCAAGGCATTTTGTCGAGCCAAAAAAAAAAAAATCGTCAAAGATGGTGTTGTTCAAATGTGCTCGGCTACTCAGTTTTTTTTTTTCACTTTTCACTTTTTGTTGTGATTTTTATTTTGATGCCTCAAATATTTTATTATTTTTTGAAACTTTGTGCACAAGTTTTGTATTATGTGAAGCACACATATGTGAAGTTGCAGGGCATTTGGCTATGCCCAAAAAAAATGAAAAATCACCAAAGATATCATGTCAACAACGGGCTTGCACACTCGCTAATTTTAATTTTCTAATTTCTCTTTTTATTTTTTCGTATTTTTCTTATTAGTATTCATTTTTCTTTTTTTCTTTTTATTTCAAATTTGGTAAGGAATTTGGATGTAATGCTCAGGCAAATGTTGTTCAGTAACGTTAGTTTATTTTTCTGCATAACATATGTTTTTTGCAGATTTTTATCATTTTTTGCTAGGCTACCAGCCGTGCCGCCCGGGTAACCCTATTTTCCCGGGCGGCCCGGCCATGCAAGGACCACGGAAGGTCCCAGCCAAAAAAAAAAAAAAAAAAAAAAACGAGAAAAAAAACTATGTTATGCAGAAAAATACAATGAACAACTTTTGCCCCAAGGTCAGATCGAAATTCTTTACCAAATTAAAAAAAAAAAAATAATAATAATTTTTATTTTTTTTTTTTTTTTTTTTTTTTTTGGGGGGGGGGGGGGGGTCCGCGTTCGGCCCGAACGACCGAACGCATTCCCAAGGGGTCCCGTACGTTCGAGCGTTCGGCCCGTCCCGAACGCCGGGTACCCTGACCACCGCTGAAAACAAAATGGGAGTCATTTCATCTACACGTGTATGTAGACAAAGAGGTGAGTTATGCCGAATAAAGCTATACAACTTTATTTATTTATTTTTATTATTGAAGGGGTTAGGCCCTTATATTATTATTATCATACATATCTATCTGGAGCTACCCATCAGGATTCTAAGTTCAAACCTCGTGCTCCGTTTATCGACAGTGACACACCACTCCGATCTATCATGCCAGGTATAATAATTTAAGATCATGAAATTAATAACAAGCAAACAATTTGAAACAAGTAAAATCAATAGGGAGAATGTGCAGCATGTGACGATGTCATCGAGTTTGACTGCTGAGGCACATAACACAAATTGCAGTCTCCAAGGAGGCGAAGGGCCCACCCACGAATAGGGACTCACCATTTTACAGCTGTTATCCAATTCTTGTGTGATGACAATTGCATCACAGGAGCAGCAGTATCTGATCAAAACCGGCGTGTCAAAAACCGGGTCAGTACGACGAGCGAATTACAATAAACAGCGCGGTTAAGAACAATAATTATTCAGTAACTCGTGTTACACAGTACGGCAGTTTATACTAACCAATCCTCATTGCCGACTTGGTTCGGAGTTCAGGGTTTACGAACTTTACGGTTTAGGGTTTAGGGTTTAGGAAGCTTAGGGTTTATGGTTTATGAACTTCGGGGTTCAGGATCAAAGATCTTTTTTTACGGAGCTTTTGATGATCAATTTCTCAAAGCCAAAGCAATCTGCAAGGATTATGAGCGGGAGCAATAGACAGAAAACCGAGATGCAAAAAAATCACGAAGAAGCTCAGATAGTCGAATACCAAGAAGAGAGCACAATGCACCAAGATACCATTCCAATAAGAGCAATACAATGAACTCTGATGTCAATGTCGCCACACTCTGGAACATAGTATCCACTGTCTCTCCTACTGTGTGGCCTCTGACGCACAGCCTACTCTACTCGGCCTATCACCAGCATACACGAGGTATGTGCTCTCTCTCCTCTCCCCTCAACCCCTCGTCTCCCCTCTTCTTCATGCGCCTCTTACCCGAAGACCCCGATCACCACCTCTGCGCACCTGCACGCTCGGCCTGGCTATGGCTGCCATGCGCCCACTGCCACCGCAGTGCCCTCACCACTTAGCACGCGCGCGCCCCAGCCTGCCCGCATAGCGCAGCTTCGCAGAGCAGTGCAGCAGTGTGGCTGCAATGCCTGCACAGGCCAGAATGCCCCAGCGCCGGGGCAGACACTTTCCTTCATGGAAAGTGTGCCCATGTCTGGCTGGCCTGGCCAGGTGTGTGGGTGCGCCCCAGTAGCTTGCCTCTGGCCCCAAGTGTCTGCGCCCAGGCCCAGTTTCCGATACTGGCCTGGGCCCCGTGCAGCTAGGCACATTTGGGCAGCCACGCAGCTTCCAAGTGTTTGCATCATTCTCATTGGCTCTTGACTGATGTGTGACGGCAATGCTGCTCTCTCATTGGCCCGCGGCCAGTCTGTGATGTGTCAGCCTCACACAGTGTGTGCCCAGGGCGCAACCACCTGAGCCCTGGGCTCAACCGTACAGCGCAGCCCTTGCGTCTGGAAAGAGCCTGGAGGCTCATGCTGCTCTGTAACCAACTGGCGTGCTGCAACTGTCTGAATCCCCACATATGCAAAAATGACGAGAACAGGCCCCTCGTGGATATTCAGGCCTGCCTTCACTTAGGGAGGGCACAGGCTTGCTAGGGGCCATGGCGCAAAACACTTATATGTCTGATGAGGGCCCCGCGAGGGCTCATTCCTCACAAATCAATCTCTCAAAGCCAAAGCAATCAATCCCTCGAAGTCAAAGCAATCGATCTCTCAAAGCCAAAGCAATCTAACATACTCGGAAAAAAACAACGGCCGTAGGCTTAAGAGGGTTTAGGGTTTACAAACTGTGGGTTTTAAGGCATTCCTAAATTGTCAGGGTGCTCCACCTGAGGGTATACGCTTCACGACTTTTTATTCCATGTCTATTACTACTCGGCCTCTGGCCGGCCATCTGCTAACTGATCCATCCATCAGCAGGGACAGCAACAGTTACAGGAATGGCAAAGTACATGCACAACGAAGAAATGTAGAGAAGCTGAAGGGGGAACCGCAGCGCTTGTGGAGGACTGATTGACTTACCGGAGGCACGAGGATCCCAAATTCTCAACACATTGTCAGAACCACCAGTCGCAATGAGAGAAGATGCATCATCATCCTGAACGCTCAAGCAGTGAACGGCTTTGCTACCTGTCTGTTTTCCGCAAAACAGCCCAACAGACACAAGGAAAAAGAGAGAAAAAAAGAGAAAATTCTCAGTGTGAGGCAGCATCCATGGGAATCAAACAAAGAGGGTGCTAGAAGGATCACTAAGAGAGCAAAACATCGACTCCAACAGGCTTCACACCAATCTGCTTCACACCTATCTTCAAATGCAGCAAAATTCAAACTTGGAACTAGAGCTGCCTTCCAGAGTAAGGACATGGATGACAACAAGGCTGAACTCTTGTCTAATCACTCACGCTGAAGGAGAAAGAGGATCCCACACTGGAGTGTACTCGGGCTTCTTGGACATGGCTAAAGGCATACACTCATACTCGAGGTTTTATCGAACGAATCTGGCCGCAATTGCACTCAGAGATACATACATACATCCAGGAAAGCTCTGCCGTGAGAATGCTCTGGAGGTTCAGAGGTGCCCCTTGCAATGGCAGGTCACGTGTGGGAATTTTTTGGCAATCAAAGAGGGGAGACGACAAGCCGCTAAACAGCAAGCATTGGTGTTCGACAAAGTCGAGGACGTACCAAAATTAGCATGTTTGTGTGCGTCTCCACATCCCACGACCGGATGGAATGGTCCCAGGAACCTGAGTAGATTGTCTGTGGATCAGACCAAGCAACGGCGGCAACACACTGCGTATGACCCGCGAGGGTGGCAATTGCAGATACCTGTGCAGATCAACGCAATCCAAGCCAGGTATAGAAAGTGAAATCAGTGCTAGCAACCACCTGTAAGTGCAGAAAAAAACACAGACTTCGTCGGAACGAAGGCAGAGGCACACCAAGCGAGTCTTCCGCGATGACAAAGCAGGTCACAAAGCGATAAAGTGCACTCCCTTTTTCAGTTTATATATTGTCACATAACTATGAACTAAAAGAGCGCAATATATATATGGGACAACATATTGCAGTACCGTAGAAGTTCTAAACAAGCTACACAGGGACAAAGAGAATGGCATCAAATCGAAGAAAAGAGAATTGTCAGTCAAAACGAGCAACACGGTAAAAGCACGACATAGACAATTCTCCTACAGCCGTGAACGGCAAGAACACATGCGACGTATCTGCTCGACTATGAGCATGGCGGCGGTGGATGAGAAAGAGCAGCGGCAGATTATCACAAAATGCATGAGCAGGAACAGCTGCTATGTGTGCTGTGGGAACATGTCGTGCCAATGGCGAAGGTGAATTAACGAGCTGCTGTGGGAACATCTCAAGCCAATGCAAAGTCAACATAAGGCTTGGGTGCTGTTAGCTGGCTGCATAAATGCCTTGCATGGACGTCTTCCACTCGATACTTTCGTCTTCACCCAAATAGAACGCCCGGTCATTAAGGCTGTATCCAGACTGAAAATTGCACCCAATGCAGCTGTAATGACAGGGCGTTCTATTCAGGTGAAGATGGTAGTCCCTTAGTTATGCATTCCGAAAAGCGGCGCTTCTTCCCCATTCAACTTAACATTCTTTTTACATATGCATTCCAAAAAGCAGGACTAACCTGTCCAAGATTCCACACACTTCTTCCCCATTCAACTTAACATTCTTTTACATATGCATTCCAAAAAGCAGGACTAACCTGTCCAAGATTCCACACAAGCTTCGTTTCCACTTATCGAAAATGATGGCTGGATTTCCAATGCCAAAACCATCTCACCTGATGGTTGGTGACTCCAAATGCTAAGAACTTAAAAAGGAGTACACAGCTGCAGAGCAGGCAAAAGCCGACTTCATTTTCTCAATCATTGCTCACTCTTATAGTTAGGCTTGGCTTTTGCAACATAGCATTGAATCTTATCTGAATGAAGACGGACATCATCAACAAAGATCAACAAGCAATTAATTTATCCAGAGAACGGATGAAAAAGGCAGATGCCTCAGCGAAGGCGTCTACGATGCGGTCTGCATAAATAAACATTAAACAGACAGGACCATGGAAATCCACAGCCCCCAAAAATCAGGCATTATACACTTATAGTAAATGCCCAATACGCACAGATGTTGTAATGAAGGGTTCATCTCAGTCATTTTTTTAATCCAGAGTGCTGTATCTCATAAGTAGAAATGGCCACCGTCGTCACCTGCATTGAACGCCCAGTCACTATGGCTGTATTTAGGGCAACTTTCAGCCTAGATACAGCACTGGGCATTCTATTTCAGGTGAAGACAGTAACGCTCCCTATATAACGGATTCCTCTCAGTCATTCAATCCAGGGTGTTGTATGTATCTCATAAGTGGAAACGGCTAGCATTATGTTACATGCAGTGCACTCACACGGACCATTTTTGCAGGCCCGACGGCCATTTTGCAGGCCCGACTGGATTCAGGCCAAAACCCTGGATTTCAGGCCGAAAGCCTGAAATTCAGGGCTTACAGGCCCCATTTCGGTTCAGGCCGAAAGCCTGACTTTCAGGGCCTACAGCCCCTGCGACGGTTCAGACTGAAAATGGTAATACCATTTTTAGCCTGAACCCAAGGGCCATTTTTGGTCGTTCATCAGAACGACCGGCCCTGAAACTCAGGCACCGAACCAGGGTTTTGGGAACAGCCTATATTTAGACTGTTCCCACGCCTGCCTCAAGCAGGCTGCTGCACGCCAGCCCCTGGCACACTTCGGCATTGGCAAGAGCTGCCTCCTCGGCCTGCTCACCCTCCTGCAGTCAGGAGGCAGGCCGAGGAAGCACTTAGGGACTTCCCAGGCACTTCACGGGTAGGCAGTTCGGCAGTTGTAGTCTTCAGGATTCGGGAGCAGCACTCTGGAGGGAGCGCTGCAGTGTAGAGTAGTAGCGTTAGCTTGTAGTCTTCAGCGCTGGGCACAGTAGGTAGCTGTAGTCTCCAGCGCTGGGCGCCATAGCTGGGTAGTACTAGAGAGAGAAAGAGAGCTTGGGCGGAGGCCAGAGGTACCTACCTGCAGCGCCGTTGCTCCAGCTTCGTCTTCGAAGTACCTGCAGCACAGCGCCAACATCACAGGTTAGTACTTGGTTCGAAACAGAGAGAGAGAGAGAGTTCTTCTTCTTCTTCTTCTCAGTCCACCATCTCTTCTCTCCCTCTCACTTCTGACTTCACTGCATCTGCAGACTATGAGAGAAGAGGTACAGAGCTTGGTGACATTTGATCCAGACTCGACTTCCGAGGGTTCAGACATGGCAACGAGGGACCGTTTGGGATTGGTGACCAAGACTTGGTGTTAACGACATTCCCATCTTCTTCCCTCCTTTCGTCTGATCCTTATCTCTTCGTCTATGTATGTCTGGACCTGGCGCTTTCTTCCTGTGTGCAGAGCCAGGCTCCTTCACACTTCGTGATGGATACAATGCATGTTTAGTCTGAGTTCAAACATTGATTGGGCTAGTTAGCGGTACTCTAGCATTCTGCTTCGTTACTCTGAACTACGTGAATGAGGTCAGTCCTGTCAGGTCAGTCTTTGTATCAAAGTCTTCCCTGCGCTCTTCAGCATCTTTATGTATGAATGAGAATGTACATTGCGTGTCGAGATTCTACTCGTACCGCATTGTCTATTCAGTCCTTTTCATCACATTGCAGATTCTCGGTTTATTACGTGCATTGCAGATCTGTGCATGTAACAATTACCTGACCGTAGCAAATGCCTGTTTCAACTATCCCCCTTCAGAGTGCCTCCCCATGTGAAGCTCAGGCTTTAGACATCAATCATTCAGATGCCTGAGCCGCACATCATATATGAAAGATGGGTTGTAAATAAAGCCTTCGTTGCAGCCATTCCAACCAAATTGACCTCAGCCAAAAGAAGAAGCGCAATGGTGAAGTGTTCCCTGACACACACCTGTTTTAACTGCCCATCTGCGGAGACGGCCTCCCCATCTGAAGCTTTCCTTCTCTTTGTCGATAGGCCATCCTCGTCCACCGGTACATCCGGCTCAGTGTCTGCATTCCAGACCTTTATGGTGCAATCCCAAGACCCAGAACAGAGCTGAACAAGAACAATAAAGCAGAAAGAAATGTGCACGTCATCACACTGATGTCAGAACACTCGACTCATCGCACTGACGTTCACAGATCTGCACACGGTGCTTCAATCCCCTTGCACCATGTCAGAACACTCGACTCATTGCACTAACGTTCACAGATCTGCACACGGTGCTTCAATCCCCTTGCACCATGTCAGAACACTCGACTCATCGCACTGACGTTCACAGATCGGCACATGGTGCTTCAATCCCCTTGCACCATCAATTCCCCTCTCTTCTTCCACATTAAACTTGCTCATAAAATGACCCCTGTCTAGCCACATGAAACCACCCACTGCAGCTGCTTCACATTTCCAAAGGTACAGAAAAATGTGTTTGTGTGTTTGTGTGTTTGTGTGTTTGTGTGTGGGTGTGTGGGTGTGTGGGTGTTGTAAGCTGTCACCACAAAAACCCATTTTTCCACCCAGATGAGTAGATCCAAAATTGAGACCCTTACATTAAAATCTTCTATAGAAGACAACATGAGGCACACTGAAACTGTTGTATTGCCTTCTCCTTGCACTGTAAGTTGTCATATTCGCCATACCGAACAAACACATGGCTGTGCCAAACTGTTTAGTTGGACATTCACCGACCCATCAGGAAGATGGATCCCGACAGTCTTCCCAGGATGCATTTGACTGGAAGGATAAGGACTCACCACGTCGCCCAGAGTTAGTGATACCCCTGAGGAAAGTGGTCGGCTTTACTTGCACCAACCCTGCAATCCTAGCAGCCTGTCATTCCAAACCCCTGACTTGAATGGCAGTAAGTCTAAGAAACAAGTGTGTGTGTGTGTGTGTGTGTGTGTGTGTGTGTGTGTGTGTGTGTGTGTGTGTGAGTGTTTGCGTTGCATCAATCACACATAAAAGCCTGTTCCCGAAACCCACAAAGACAATGAGTCTAAGGCTCCCCATGCCTGTGTGTTTGACTGGGTGGGAAGTGTCCACACATCCCATCTACTTGACGAGTACTTGCACTAGAATTTAAGTAGAAAACAAATCAACAGGTGTTACCCTCCCTCCTCCCTCCTGCCTCCAGCCTCCTTCATACAGAACCAACAACTTGAGACGAAAGGAAAAACCACACACAGCACACACAAGCTCACTGTCCCTCGGGACATTTGTTAAAATTGGAATGATACACAAAAGATTAGCATGGCCACTGTACTGAAAATCTGTGCTCAGCAGGAGACTACAAATCTGTGCTCACAGCCCCTCCGGACATTCCTTAAAATTGGAACGATATCTAGCGGCCCGTCCGGGTCACCCTATTTTCCTGGGTGGCAGGGCCGTGCAAGGACCAGAGAAGGTCCGAGCAAAAAAAAAAAAAAAATCCGAAAAAAGAAACTATGTTATGCAGAAAAATAACTGAACAACTTGCCCCAGGGTCACATCTAAATTCTTTACCAAGTTGTGATGGGGTGTGAACCGACAGTCTGTAGAGTTTTCCATCTGGTGTGGGTGAGTGATAGTCTATTTTGATATTGGTTAAGGTAGATTATCATTTACAGTGTAATCAGTGAGGGGATTCTGCAGACTGTTGAGGGTTCAGACTCCTGATGAGTCGGTGAAACTCTGACGAAACAGTTTGTCACAGCCCCTCGTTTGTTGTCCCCTTCTCTCTCTCTGCCTACGGTTTACCGGGCAGTTCTATTTGTGACGATATATACTGTTTGTGACGATATATGCAGGAAGCTAGCGAAGTCGTAGTATATATCATCACAAATAGAACTGCCCGGTAAACCGTAGGCCGAGAGAGAGAAGAGGACAACAAACGAGGGGCTGTGACAAACTGTTTCGTCGGAGTTTCACCGACTCATCAGGAGGCTGAACCCTCAACAGTCTGCAGAATCCCCTCACTGATTACACTGTAAATGATAATCTAC